ATTTTAAATTTAAAATGTGTTAAAAGGAATTAAAAACAAAAACAAAATTTCTGACCACATCTAAAAGATTTCATACGATCAGGAGCTTCAGAGGGCGTCTCTCACCGGTCTTGTCTTTCTCTTCATTCTCGTCCTCCTCTTCATTCTCGTCCTCCGAGCTTTCCTCGGTGGACGTCCCGGAATTTTCTGCTCGACAAATCAACAGGAGAAATTATTGGTTGAAAGATGAGGCAGAGGATTCAGGCCTCCCAGGTTTCAGTGTGAAAACTGACGTGACACTTGTGCTCACCTGAGCCGCTGCTGTCGTTTTCTGACAGGTTATCTGTAAACAAAAACAGCCACAGATTTAAGGTGAAGACGATTTGTCCTGTAAATGTGATGCAACGTCGTTGAAATGTGGAGCAAACCAATGTCAAAATGCATTTCTGTTTTATTATATTATATGCAGGTAGTGTGGGAGTTGTACATTTTAGAATTATAACCACWTGTGCATTTTTAAGAACTTGCTAAAAAAAGTCACCTATTTCATATTTTTTTACCTGTATATCACTCAGAATATTAGAAAGACGCAAGAAGAAAAAATCTAACTAATCAACTCTGCAGAGGAGACAGAACCAAAAACAAAAGGCAGACAAAGTAAGCCTCTTTCTTCTTTACTTTCTCATACTCATATCTATTAAAAACAGACAAAACCTCAATTGCCAAACTCGTCATCACAAGTCACAATGTGACTTCATTTCCTTACATAAGACCAGTARCAACAGCTTAAGGTCGAGAGCAGATAAGTGAAAAAGAAGTACAGAATTACAGCAGGTGCCGCCCCAGTTACCTTAGTGTTCTTTAAAAAATATTCATTAGTATTAGTCATCAAAAAGCCCTAAGTATGTTTAACTTAAACGGCCACTATTTATTTGAAATACATGCATCCTTCRCTGCCGTGAGAAGACAGCTGGAGGAAGTGCAGAGCGTTGACGTGCTGCCATGTTTTTACTGATGGCTACAGAGGAGCAGAGACCGCCCACACGCTGCCCACACGTCCTGTTCCAGCACTCAGACCTTCATCTTAGACTAACAAGCAGATGCTGCTTCTCTCACAGCACCATCCTCATCC